CCTGGATAGAGTGCCGTGGCATCACAGCTCACAGCAACCTCCAACTCCTGGGCTCAAGCGAGTCTCCTGCCTCAGCCTCCCGAGTAGCTGGGACCACAGATGCCCACCACAACGCCCGGGTATTTTTTGGTTGCAGCTGTCATTGTTGTTTGGCAGGCTCAGGCTGGATTTGAACCCGTCACCTTGGGTGTACATGGCTGGCGCCTTAGCCACTTGAGCCATAGGCACCGAGCCTGTATAGTTTTCTTGTAGGGAGTTTATCTCTTTTGCTGCAAGGTTACACATGCTGCATTGGTTGAATTTGGAAGTGTTCAGTCCCTTTTTAATTTAGGAAGACCTTAGTAAGTAGTTGTGTCAATTTATTTACTTATTTATTGACACAGAGTCTCACTCTGTCACCGTGGGTAGAGTGCCTTGGCATCATAGCTTACAGCAATTTCAAACTTCTGGGCTCAAGCCATCCTCTTGCCTTAGCCTCTGGAGTAGCTGAGACTACAGGTGCCTGCCATAACTCCTGGCTAATTTTACTTTTTTTGTTGTTATTTGTTCTTGTTTTTGTTTTTTTGAGACAAAGTCTTACTATGTTGCCCTCAGTAGAGTGCTATGGCATCATAGCTCACAGTAACCTGAAACTCTTGGGCTTAAGTGATTCTCTTGCCTCAGCCTCCCAAGTAGCTGGAATAATTTTACTGTTTTTTTTTTGGTTTTGGTTTTGTTTTTTGAGACAGAGCCTTACTATGTCATCCTTGGTAGAGTGCTATGGCATCACAGCTCACAATGACCTCAAACTCTTGGGCTTAAGCAATTCTTTGCCTCAGCCTCCCAAGTAGCTGGGACTACAGGCACCCACCATAATGTCCAGCTATTTTTTGGTTGTAGTTGTCATTGTTCTTTGACAGGCCTGGGCTGGGTTTGAACCCACCAGCTCCAGTGTATGTGGCCCATGCCCTAGCCACTGAGCTACAGGTGCTGAGCCTAATTTTACTGTTTTTATTAGAGGTGGGATCTCGCTTTTTCTCAGGCTAGTCTCAAACCCCCAAGCTTCATCAGTCTACCTACCTCAGGCTCCCAGAGTGTGGGGATTATAGGTGTGAGTCAGCTCCACTAGCATACCTTTACTGCATTTGTTGTGTTGTAGCTTTAGAATTTGTTTTGTTCAGCTCTTCCTCTTCTGTTTGATATGCTCCTCTTTCAAGTATTTACTCCCTTCCTTCAGTTAGTTCTGTATCTCTCTCATCTTTTTTTTTTTTTTTGGAGACAGTCTCACTTTGTCACCCTCAGTAGAGTGCCGTGGCATAGCTCACAAAATCCTCAAACTCTTGGGTTCAAGTGATCCTCTTGCCTCAGCCTCCTGAGTAGCTGTGACTACAGGCACCCACCACAATGCTTGGCTATTTTTTAGAGACTGGGTCTTGCTCTTGCTCAGGTAGGTCTTGAACTCATGAGCTCAAGCAATCCACCCACCTTGGCCTTGCAAAGTGCTGGGATTATAGCTGTGAGCCACCATGCCCGGCCCATCTCTCTCGTCTTGTAGCTCATTAAGCATATTAGGACAGTTGCTTTAATTATCTTTCAAGTTATTCAGAAGGCTGTGTTCCTTTTGGTTTTATTTCATGACATGTATTTGATTCTTTTCATTTGGGCATATTTCCCTATCTTTCTGTAGCTCTTATAATTTTTACTTCAGGTTTAGGTATTGATGAAACAATTACCACTTTTTTTGCCCTAAAATTATGCTGTGGGAGACCTTTACCCATCAGCCTATTGGAAAGGATCAAGGAGCACTCACTCCTGTTCTGGTGATGTGTCTGTCTTCCCAGACTCTTTTCATATACATACTATTGCTAATGTGTAAGCAGCTTCCCTGATAAGTCTGATTTTCCCCTAAGACCTCATCCCTGCTGTTTTTCAGAAGCTTTTGGCTTCTGTTGTATATTTCTGCTCATAATCTCTCTATAACTCGCCAATAATCTTTCTGGCTGCTTCACACTGCCAGCTAGTACAATGCACCCCCTCATCTCTTTGTTTTCAGCATTGCCAGTGTGCCATGAAAAGTATACTGATGTTCCTGTCAATGTCACAATCAAGTGGGGTAGATCTTATTCTTAGATTCTTGCAATGCTAGATCCATACCTTCAAGTTCCCCTCTCTTCTTGATTTCCTAGGGAGGAGTTGTGTATTGACAATGGAAGAAAGATACAAACTTATTAAATATCAACATGGATTAGGCTTTCACTCCCATCTTCCTGAACAGCAGCTATTTCAAGATGAAGGGAAAATTGATAAATGCAATGAAGTTGAAAACCGTCTCATCCATATTACTGCATGTTCACCACTTGAAAACACTTTTTCTAAGTTCAAAATCCACATGCTTAATAAATATCAGAATGATTTTGTCCATTCTCCAGTAGTCACACAAGAACTGAACACACATATTAGGGAAGAACCTTACACATATAATGAGTGTGGTGAAGCCTTTAGTGTGTCTTCAAGCCCTCCTAACCATGGGGTAGTTCATACTGGAAAGAAACCTGTAAAATGTGAAAAGTGTGGCAAGGCCTTCAGGAAACATTCAGAGTTTGTACAACATGGGAGAATCCATACTGGGGAGAAACCTTATAGATGTAATGAGTATGGCAAGGCTTTTATTCACAGTTCACACCTTGTAAAACATGCAGTTGTTCATACTGCAGAGAAACCTTACAAATGCAATGAGTGTGGCAAGGTCTTCCGTCGTGAATCAAGCCTTAAAAATCATCACACGATCCACTTGGGAGAGAAACCTTACAAGTGTAATGAATGTGGCAAGGCCTTCAGACAGAAGATAGGCCTTACTGTTCACCAGATAATACATTCTGGAGAGAAACCTTACAAATGTAATGAGTGTGGCAAGGTCTTCCGTCGTAAATCAAACCTGAAAAATCATCATAAAATCCATACAGGAGAGAAACCTTACAAATGTAATGAATGTGATAAAGCCTTCAGTGAAAAGTCGTCCCTTACACGTCACCAGCAAATTCATACTGGAGAGAAACCGTACAGTTGTAATGAGTGTGGCAAGGTCTTCTGTCAACAATCAGCCCTTAAAATTCATCACAGAATCCATACTGGAGGGAAACCTTACAAATGTAATGAGTGTGGCAAGGTCTTCCGTCGTAAATCAAACCTGAAAAATCATCATAAAATCCATACAGGAGAGAAACCTTACAAATGTAATGAATGTGATAAAGCCTTCAGTGAAAAGTCGTCCCTTACACGTCACCAGCAAATTCATACTGGAGAGAAACCGTACAGTTGTAATGAGTGTGGCAAGGTCTTCTGTCAACAATCAGCCCTTAAAATTCATCACAGAATCCATACTGGAGGGAAACCTTACAAATGTAATGAGTGTGGCAAGATCTTCTGCCAGCAGTCAACCTTTAAAACCCATCAGAGAATCCACACTGGAGAGAAACCATACAAATGTAATGAGTGTGGCAAGACCTTTATTTACAGTTCACACCTTGTAAAACATGAGAATGTTCATACTGTAGAGAAAATATACACATGCAATGAGTGTGACAAGGTCTTCTGTTACAAATCAAATGTTAAAAATCATCACACAACTCACGTGGGAGAGAAACCTTGCAAATGCTATGAAGATGGCAAAAAATTTAATTGGTCTTCAAGGCTTCCTATACATCAGGCTATGCATAACGCAGATAAACCTTACAAATGTGATGACTGTGGGAAGGTTTTCAGGCATAAATTATCCCTAACAGTTCATCTGAGAATTCACACTGGAGAGAACCTGTACAAGTGTAATGAATGTGGAAAGGCCTTCAGTCAGAAAATATCCCTTATTGTTCATCAGAAAACACATACTGGAGAAAAACCTTACAAATGCAATGAGTGTGGCAAAGTCTTCCGTTATAAATCAAACCTTAAAAACCATCACACAATGCATTTGGGAGAGAAACCTTACAAGTGTAATGAATGTGGCAAGGCCTTTAGACAGAAGATATACCATACTGTTCATCTGAGAATTCACACTGGAGAGAAACCTTACAAATGTAATGAATGTGGGAAAGTCTTCAGTCAGAAAATATCCCTTAAGGTTCATCAGAAAACACATACTGGAGAGAAACCTTACAAATGCAATGAGTGTGGCAAGGTCTTCTGTCGTAAATCAAACCTTAAAAATCATCACACAATCCATTTGGGAGAGAAACCTTACAAGTGTAATGAATGTGGCAAGGCCTTCAGGGAGAAAACAGGCCTTACTGTGCATCAGAAAATACATTCTGGAGAGAAACCTTACAAATGTAATGAGTGTGGCAAGGTCTTCTGTCATAAATCTAACCTTAAAAATCATCATAAAATCCATACAGGAGAGAAACCTTACAAATGTAGTGAGTGTGGCAAGGTCTTCTGTCGTAAATCAAGCCTTAAAAATCATTACACCATCCATTTGGGAGAGAAACCTTACAAATGTAATGAATGTGGCAAGGCTTTCAGACAGAAGATAGGCCTTACTGTTCACCAGATAATACATTCTGGAGAGAAACCTTACAAATGTAATGAGTGTGGCAAGGTCTTCCGTCGTAA